TACAGAAGAAGTGTTATCTATTTTATTTATTTTACAATTAAAAGAGTAATAAATGAAAGGGATTAATGGGGAAAAAATTAATTTGCTACCTCAAAACTTCATATATCCTGACATAAATTACAAGTAAAAAAAGAACAGAAAATTGTAAAGAAAAAGCTTTTACTGAAGAAAAAGCCTGACTGAATCACAACAGAGAAAGATTCTATAATTTTGTGAACATTTAGGTGTTTTTGAGGGGAATGGACAGATGTAATTTAGGTACAACCTTACAAACTCTGTTATTTCAAACACAAGGTCACATGCCCTTCCTCTGTGTTTCACAAGCACACTCACTTTCAGTCCAACAGAATTCACGGAACTCTCATAAAACATTCAGAGACAGCCCCTCTCCTGATTGTCTCCTGCCAACTGTCCAACAGCAGGTTACCCAAAACAGGAGAGGAAAATGAACGTTTGGGCTACCATAAAAGAAGACAGCACAGCGTATCGTGAACAAAAACCACTGCAGCTACTGTATGAACACATTTAACTGCATAATGAAAAAGACTGCTTCACAAACATACAGAATTTGTTCGTTTTCGTTTCCAACAATCGGGATTTAAACGTTTCTGTTCTTCTGCCAAGGCCTTGGCTTCTAGTGTGTACATCCGTCGTTCTTCATTTTTCATTTTCTTCCACCTGTCACCAAGTATCACACTTATGGCTCTGCAAGATAAACGTTTACAATACGGTCAGGACAAGGTGTTAAGAAATACTGTTATTTTTCATTTTTAACTCAGCACCTTAAAAAAGACAATTGTGGAAAAAAAACACACACAGAAGAAATAAACTGTATCTTTAAAAAGACTTTTTCAAACAATTCTGATTATCTTCTCATACTTCTTTTAACAGTTAAACAGCTGACACTTCTGTGTTAGCTGAGCATGGGTCAATGCACATTCAAACATTTCGAAGGGTGCACATTTCAACAGGCACCAACTTGCATAAAGCAGCAAAATAGAGATGTAAAAAACCACCACCAAATGGTAACTCACATTTGTTTTGCTCCACTTTCATACTAGAAGATCATATGACAGATTTGCTGAAAATATGTTCTCTAATAATTAGGGCAAGGATCTGAATATGACCTCAGCCAAGCAAATATTTGATTAACTGTAAACCCCATGTCTATTTAATAGATGTGTGTAGCTTTAATCCACACTGGGGAGAACATGAGTGGGTGGAACATACTGGTAAGTTCCCGTTCCTATGCACAAGGAACCGTTTGTTCTAACACACCTATCATTATTTCCAGAAGCTGAATGAATTGCTCTTCCTGCTTCTTATAAACTCAATGTCTTTTGGACAGTATTTCCCCGTATTATCATGCCATGTTGCTTAACTGCACTCCCAAATGTTGGATCAATACTCCATTAACGCTTTCACCCCATCCTTTAGCTGAATGAAAATCTCTGAACAGCAGCCCTTTTATCAGTGACAATTACTAAACCACTGAGTAGGTATGCTTTGGCTTCAGATTACAGTGATGAAAGATCTATGACCATCTTTACGAAAAAGGCTTATACAACTGAGTACTCTGCTTTATCACACTAAGAAGTTCCTTGCTGGCAGCAAAGCTCTCACAGACGTTCTAACAGAATCAAGGACAGCAGAATGTCATCAACCATTTCCATAGCATTTCACAGACAGCAATTCTGAAGGCTTTTCTGCACCATACCAACAAGAAAATGGATTTTAATCCTGCAAGATGGCGTAGTACCGTTCAGGCTTCCAGGAGCTGCCGAGCACTCAGCACAGAAGGATCTCCACCGGGGCTGCTGTTAAGCCTGTGCTGTCACGTGCTCTGGTGGCTCCTTAGAGCAAACTCCTCAAGTTGCAACCAAACCCCATCAACATCAAATCCATTTGCACAGCCTGTCTCTTTGCCAATGGAATTTCTGGTTTTCTATCCAAATTAATAACCGGTATCTTTGGTCTGTCATCAGAAGTAAACACATGCCAGTTTAATCAGCAGATTTTTCATGTTTTGGCAGTACCCAGAGGCAAATGAACAGCACCAGAAACGTGTCTGGTTTTGGTCAACAGTTTGTACTGGGTCACTCATACTGCCAGGAAAGAACACGGTGGCACAGAGAGAGCAGGTTTGCTGAAAAAGCCACTGCATTTCCAAATAAAAATGTACTATGAAATCTTTGTATTTCAAATGCAAAAATGTGTGTGTATTTTATACTTCCAGAGAAAAAACTGCACTGAGGCACTGCAACTGAGTACAGATCTGAATATTTCAAAAAGCTTGAAAAACCTAAGGCAAAGACAAAAGCTCCATTTCTCAAGGAAATATTTCTGAGTCAACCAGAGACGGAAAAAAGACATGTACAGAGAAACTCCCTGACATAACAGAGACCTACTTCTCCTGACCAGAAACAAGTAAGAAGAAACTGACCCTAGTGCATCACTGCCTTAGGTGCCCTTCACCTCTTCACAACTTTGCAGTGCTCTGTACATTGCCTTTGTCCTCTTAAAACACTGGTGAAAAACCTGACAACATTTTAGCAACAGACTAGTGTGCAGGATGTAATCCCTTATACTGCAGTTAATTCAAAAGAAATTGTCAAATGGTAGTTGAGAATGCCTCAAGTTTACTCAGTAATTATGTTCAGCATGAACAAATGCTGTTAATAGTTTAGGTAATTTTCTTCATCTTTAGAACATGCACTACTCAAATTATTCGAGTATTTCTGAACGTACTATCAAGTCCAACGACGGTTACAGTGAGAACCTCCAGAAAAGAAACAAGCGCTGCCCTAACACCAGTTTCTCAAGTACGGTCTTACGCTCCACAGTATTTGTAAGTATCATGTCAAGGTTGACTTGTGTTTTGAATGTTTACAGCTCACTATCTTGTTGACATGGCTTGAGCTACTTTGTCTCAGAACAGACCATTTAACTCAGAATACCCCCAGTTCTGTCCTTTCCTGCATGTAAGAAAAATAAAGTAACTGCAGCAAACACAAAACTCCAGTATACAGAAATGAGTACTACAGGTCATCTGAAAACGACACATGCTTACGTTTAAAAAACATGTGAGTGGCCTCCCAACAGCTAAACTAACCAATGCCCCAGCAACACCTAAGCAACAGTAGCTGAATGTCTACAAAGACAATGACCACTAACTCTATGATTTCTTCTGTACTGTATTTTATGGATGCCAAGAAACTGCATCCAAATGCACTGCCTTCCAAATGGGACAGCGAGCAGTGCACTCCGAAGCTCACTTGTAACTTTGTCATCGCTTTCAAGGTAAATCTGCTCAGTGAAATACTCCACTTGTTTTCACATCCATCCAGCTGCAGCTCCAGTTCACTGCATCCATTTGAAATAAGCATTTTAAATTAAAAACAATCATAAACTGTCCTAGCTGACGTTCTGTTTGATTTCTCACTGATAGTTGCAAGGAATTTGAAGGCAGCAGATCTGCTTCACTGAAATTACTATACACTGCAGAAAACCATTGCCAGGACACACAAGACTGGCTGGGATTTAAGGATGGGTCGTTTGTATGAAAGGGTTTTACTTCTCAGTATCATTTACCAGCTTCTTACTAGAACATTATAAAATAGCCCAAACCCACTCATAGCCCTGTCACCTTTAGTTTTTACCAGATTTAGTACTAGAATTTGCATGTGGCAATGTAATTTTTACAGCAACAGTGTTCATAATGTTATATACATAAAAATTCTGATTATAAGATCAGTGCACGTTTGTATGTTTTAGTTTGTATTTACAGATGAAAAATTAGCACAGAATATTACTTAAAACACATGTAATGGACATCTTTATAAAAAAAATGTTTAGACCTGAACATGCATGTAGATAAAAACCAAAGAACAAACCAACAACGACCCCTCCCCCAAACACATGGTCATACAACTCTTCCTGCAAGTTTCAACAGATAGCTGAATGCCTTTAGGACAAGCAAAATTTGGCAATGTCCTGTTTGGATTAAGATCCTTCAGATATCCTCACAATCAGTACTCCATTATTCAATATGATATACAGACTGACAACATTAAACGGTAACTGCACTTAATAATTTGGAATATTATGTCAGGATTTACTTAGAAGAACTAGAAATTCCCTTTTTCCATTACCACACATGAGCAGAGAGCCTGGTACTTCTTCCCCACGAACATTTCTCAGTAATGTAAACAAAGACTGTCGTGTATTTGTGACTCTGCCCGTGCACATACATACATACATACATCAGTTGCTTCACCCAAATGCTTTCTCAGAAGATAAGTTTGCCAAAAATGGCTTGTGTCAAATTTACTGAGTATTGTAAATGTTTAAAGTCCGCCCAAAAATTAAGCTTTGTGTCAACATCTTTCAAAACTTGTTCTTAAAACAATACATACACATTTTATTTCAAATGCAAAACTCAGTCCACCTAAAATTAAAGGTAGGACACGGATATTCTGCCAGCTCACCAGCAATAACAAAACTACAATGTTCTACCATTACCTGTTGTCTTTCCCTGGATACATCTGAGTATATTCCACTCTGTATTTTTTGGCAAAAAGCATGAAGGCATTCATTGGTCTTTTGCACTTGTTTGGAGAAGTGGCACTCACAGTACTTGCAGTCCCTGAGCTGTGGCTTTTGCCAGCTTTGCTGTACAAAGAACTGGAGGAAAGATGTGATGATGCAGTAGATGCACAGTTTTTACTACTGCACTCTGATCTCTCAGCATCTTGATTGTTTGATCCTCCACACGACAGAGACGCGCGACGCTGGCGAGCCATGCTGCTTAGCACGTAAACTGCAGAGGAATCCATTGGTGTAAAATCGTAACTGCAAGAAAAAGACACAGCATAAAACAATCAAGTAATTTTCATGTAAAATCCCTAAATAGCTGTGTGCTCTTCACCTGTATCACATTTCTAGTATGCTGGTCTCTTTGTGTGACATAATGAAATTGTGCTTGATGCAGATGTCAATGAAAAAGAGAGTCTGGCAGATGAATTAATAGTATTTTCCAATTTGACAGTGGATTGCGACTTTGCAAGAGCTGCTGTGTACTATCAACTCTCCAGCTGTGTATCCATTAATTTATACACTGTCTTCATCCTCTTTTGAAATAAGCTTCTTTCTGCTTCTGTCCTTACCATAACCCAAATCTGGTTAGTGAATGATAGATACTGAAATGGACAACCGATGTGGGAAAGAATAAGCATTGAGTTCACTTGCAAATATATACTGATAACAAATATGACATCTTTACATTAAAATAAATTATATTAGATATCCTATTGTATAAATAACTTCTCTAGGCAGTTAAATACGTACTATTTTACAGAAAAACCTTCCACTGAGATTAAATAAAGTTTCAAGACCCATGACGTTGATTACTATTTGATTCAAAGCTGACAGACGTCTGCCCTCTAGAGACAAAAATGTAAGATTCCTCCATATTTCAACAGCTTGGGTGAGTTGTTTCTATACAGTTTAGACCTCCAAATAATATAAACTGTGGTAATTTGTTGTTGATCAACAACCACAATTAACCTGTAAGAACTACAGAAGAAGTTTAATTCCACAGACTGACTGTTATCATCTCCAAGTATGTGCAGATCAGCCTGGGAACCAGAGCCTATAGCACTTTTAGCATGTTCCATGTGGAAAATACACTTGTAAAGGTGCTACTTGACCATAAATCTGAAACATTAAGTTACCACCACAAAATAAACATAAAATGTATACATCTCTAAAGCTCCTCTCACCCACTGCTCAATGTGGCTATAGCTGCATAATTTATGGCAAAAATAGGGGCTTTGAAGAGCTTTTTTGCAAACACGAAGTAGAACTACTAGCAAGTAAAGGCTGCAAGTGGTAGTCCGGCACCCATCCGCACAAGCAGCTCCTTTCTGTGGGACGGAACCAAAAGCAACGTTGAAGCCTCAAGGGTTGTCACTAAATCCCTTACAAAAGTAAATAGCAACAAAGAAGAGATAATGCCAACAACCTTGCAGGCAAATTCACAAGTTAATGAAAAAGGACCTCTCTGTTCTACAAACAGTCCAGCATCCTTCCTGTTCCTAATATCCCTCCCATAACAGAGCAAAAGGATTTTGTTTTATAATTCTTCTGTTAACTACAGCTGCTGCTGCATGCTCCTTTCTCAGTGACTTACTCCCTTCTGCCCAGAAAGAGACAAGGAATTTGAAGCGTCCAGGCAGTATTCATCTGTTCTGCAGGATGCCTAAGGAGCCACAAGTCCCCTTTCTTCACTGAGATGTAAATATAATCAGTCCAACAGCTCTCTACATAGGCACTTAAGAATAGGAGTTAACAAGAAGAAAAAAAACCCAGACAGCAACTGAGTGAAGACAAGTACATGGAACTCCCTCTCTATCCCAGACTGAAAACATACAAGAGCTCCTAGGGCTTGAACTGCAAACAACATTTTAAATTCCTTTTTCTATTGTAAAAAAATACAAAAAAACCCAACTTAAAACAGATGCTAAAAAGGTGCTAACATCATCAGAGAAGATGGGTTCCACTAAACCTAGGAATCTCAAAACAGTATGGAAAAATATTTATGACTAATACCATTTCCTTAGAATAATTTATGCTGGGCAGGACCTCTAAAGGTTATCTGGTTGAATCTCTTGTTCAAAGCAAGACAAAGCTCAGAGTTAATCAAACTTTTAAGTTTGGTAAGTTTGATATATTAGAAAAGAATCACAGAAAGCAGAATATACAAAAATAATAAGAACAAATTATGAAAGTACTGTATTCTAAAGCCACAGCACATGCATTAGTTACTAGGAAACTACTCAGATAATTCAGATACATAGCTGCATAAGAAGCACACATTAATAGCTGGCAGGCATACTACTGTGGGAAAACAGTACTAGGTTTTTCAAACATAACCCACTTTACTTGAAGAATTTATAGAGATAATATATATTTTTTTCTCCTTTATCTAATCTGGTTTAAACTATCATAAACAGGGGCTGAAAAGTTATTTCACTCCAAGATATTACTTTGCAGTTTAGCAGAGCACACAATTACACAGCTTTCCTAGTACTCAGGCTTCCTTCTCCGTCTCATTTATCTTGTAGTACCAGAAGTATTCTCTCTTTGCTCTACATAATGCTTCAAATTCTTGTAGACTTAAGGTGCCTACTCATTAAATACAAAAACCACTGAGGCCACTTTATCCAAAAATTACCTTTTAAATGTATCAAAAACACCTGAATCATCAAAGTTAATGGCATCAGGGTGTCCAGGAGGTAGACACAGATCTCCAAGATGCATTTCACAGCATGGAATGCCATGCTGTACCACAGTCAAGCTTGGATAAAAAGATGACCAACCTGAAGTGGTAAAGAGTTAAATTAGACAAACGGCCAGACAATCTCTCTAGTTCTTAACTGGAGCAATCCTATATCTCTAAATGATATAATTTTATAAAAACGTTCTCATGTAGTTTCTTTCACCCAAAAGAAAAATCAGAAACACTTACTCAGGGAGTTCTTACTGCAAACAGTTTATTTTTACCTCAAGTAAAATCTCGTTCTAGTAAAAGAAGTAATGAAAACCTGGAAACTTTCATCAGAAGTTCCATGGTTAGCAAGTGAGAAAAGCCTCCCTTATTTGTAGCTTTCCCTTCTCCCCCCCAAATTTCTGTTTTCCCGAGCTCCATTTATATAATTGATCAAACCTTTCCTTAAAAGATATGCAGTATTTCTGTAGCTTTACAGTTTGGTTCATTCAAATTCTGCATTTCTTTACAAAGACAATTGATTCTACAACACTGCTTTTATCTGCAACCACTTTCTAAGAACATTTTAATATACAATCAAGTATACTTGTAGTATTTGTAGTATTTCGTACCTTTATTTTTAACATAAAAAGGATGATCGAGTCTGCATTCTACTGTAAGCAAGCCATCTTCCACTGTGCCAGGATCAAAAGTCAGCTTCAGCACTGACTCACCAAAGGAAACGCTTTCTTCATGAGAAATCAACTTCAAACCATCGGAACCGTAGCCCTACACACAGACATACAGTTCAAAGTTTTTCCCCCAAGAAAAGCGTATACTTTTGTACACTATAGGTGTATATTCATCCCCTTACCTTATGCTAAAAAATACCAACATTCTAAGGGCTTTCACTACAAATAAACAAAGACGACACAACATTCAAAATTACCTAGTTCAATTGCTTCATAGCAAGATATCCAAACAGTACAGTGATCAGCTCGAAACAAGTTCAGCATAAACCTAGTGTCTTCCTGAGACTCTAATTAAGGGCACAGGGATAGTGTACGAAACTAAATATCGTGCTACTAGTATTGAAACGAATTTATTAGAACTAACAGCTACCTTGTAAGGATTCACTGCGAGATTTTCCTCTTTTCCACAGCTTTGAGATCTTGCAAAATCTTCAACATCCTGCCATTCTTTATTACGTCCTTTGTGAAAGCACAAACGAGAGCCTAATAGATTTTTTTCAAGAAAAAAAAAATCAGCGTTATGTAAAAAAGTCTGTGTTACAAAAAAAAAGACAAGACAAAACAAATACTTATTCAATGATGCATGACTATTTTACCTTTTAGAAAACAATGCCAAACAGTTGAGGGCCAGGAATGGCACCATCCTAAATCATCATCATCTGAAAGTGATGACATGCAGAAAATGCCAGATTCTGATTCACTATTCACCTATCAAAAAAAGCAAAATGCTGTTGGTATTTCACTGTGGAAGATTTTAGGGCTGGTCTTACATGTCTTTAGACACATTCTCTAATTTGCATCTGTGTCATCATTTTGCCTTAAATACTAATAGGAATGCAACATGGAAACAAAGATTCAAGGAATGCAGTAAATGTGAATGGAGTTTTTAATCTCCTTTTCTTGAAATGTGCCATCCTGAAATTTCTAGGTCTCTTTCTCTGAGATTTATTTGTGCATCTATGGAGTATCTTATGTTTAGATACGAGCATTTTACAAGCTATCATTCCTTGGTCATGCACAGAACCACTCAAAGTACACATTATTCCATGGTCAAATTACTGGAAAGCTGTAGGGTCAAGTCAGTTCTACATAAATCACTCAGAAAAACTATTTTTAACAGACAAGTTTCAGATACAAACTAATACACAGGAAAGGGAGAAGCAGGACTGATAGGTTTTGTGCTCTAAAAGGAGATGGTTCTGTATTTCCTTTGCAAGAGAGCAAACAAGTTCATACCAAAGCAGAGCTTTCTTACAAGGCGATCTCTTCACAAAAATGTGGACTCTACGATGTAGCCCTACAAGCCTACTGTGTTTGGTAAACAGAAAAGTTACAGAAAATCCAGCTTAAATAGAAATAGTATTAGAACTAAACAGATTTTTTAAAAAAACTAGTTTCTCTTTTCAAAAAGCTTAAACCATTACTCATGCATCTTTATTTATTTTAGAAACGTTTCAGAATAACTCACCCTTTCATGTCTGACTGGTGTTTCATCCAAAGCATTCTTGGAGAAGTTAGGATCATTCTTTGAGGATCCTGGTGGAGGACGTGCATAGGAATGTAAACTTTTGCTTGTAGCTATTATGTGAACAGGAGATGATCTACAATGGAAAAATATATTTGAAAATCTCTCAGATTAAGGCAACACAAGACTTAACAGTCATTACTCTAAAATACTTTTATTCAACAAATATTTCTGTTAGCATGAGCTGAATAGCAAATAAACTTCCCACACCCCAAAATTCAAATGGGATGATTAAAGGGCGCAAGCTCAGGCAAAGAGAATAATTAGCCTAACTCCTGCATAGCTTCTATATACCATCCCAACGGCAGTACTACTTCCACATCAGAATCTCCTTGTCACAATGCTGAAGTTTTTACAAATATCTTGAAGTGAATACACCATTCTTAAGAGTACATACAGACATCTGCTCTGTCATAATGATTAAATCCCAACTACATTACTGTTAACGGTACTGCATTTAATTTTGTTATTAAGACCAAAGTTGTAGAATAAAAGGTGAAACCCAGAAATTTCTAAGATCCCATACTGTTTCTCACAGCTTCATGGAATTTACAGATCACAAATCTGAAACAGTATCAATAAAAAAAAAATACATTGCATTAAATTTCCAATTAGCTCTTTTAAAAAAAATGGAAGTCAGTGCACTACTTAGTATGCTTCACATGAGGTAAATGCCCACAATTTCTGAGCCTTCTGTGGTTAGACAATGTCCTTACACCATCCTACCTCACTTACAGCTGGCCATTAAGTGGCTTTTGCAACAGGCTCCTGAAACGAGTCCTGAGCAATCTTCCGCAAAAGCATGAAGTTACTATACAGACAGGCCAAGAAAAGGGCTCCAGTTCAAAGTCAGAGGGTGTGAAGAGTGAAGGAAATGTTTCTGGAGATTTACAAATCTGAAAGCTCAAAATTGAAACAAATGTCAGTACCTGTTATAAAAAGAGCACTGCATCAAAGGACTCTGAGGACTTGTGGCTATATTTGCCAATTCTGTCAACCAGTTCACCCCATTCTCACAAGAATAAGCATTTTCTGAATTGCTGTTTGAGGTATGTTGGTTCCACGAAGGCCTTGAACATTCCTGATGTGAAACATCAGCACCAAGCTGAAAAAGTGCAGGTGGGGTAGAATCCGTCTGCACAGCCTGTAGTTCAGGAAGATCATCTACGAACAAATGGACAAATTACCATAATTATACCTACTGATAAATTCCAGTTGACACCAAATCTTGCAAATAAAAATCAAAAAGGAACCACAATTAAGTCACTTATTTTATTTTCTCATACAACAGCTACCAACATTTCACAAACCCAATTCGTAATACTGACAAAATAGTCACAGAAATAATCACATCTCAAGTCTATTATACGTTTATATAAGCAATTTAAGAAAAACATTAAGTAACTAGAGAAAAACGTTCTGGTAAAATGTTTTTACAGTTTTTACTAGACTGACTAGTTTACACAGAACTGTACAGCAGAATTATGCAAAAGTAGCAACATACTTCACTAAAATACTAAAACACCAAACAAAAGACAACTAAATTAATCTGTCCCAGCAGTTGTTGACAGTAAAAATTATCAGCATCAGGGGCTGTACAAGGTAAAGTTTTCCACTCTTCCACCAGGGAACTGCAATAAAATAGCTCAGAAGTCATGAAAACTGGGTGTACAGCCTGGTAGGGGTGAATTCCTATCAATCATCTACACGTTTCACATGTTATATAGGATAGCAGAAGAGAGCCCAGCTTGTTAACAAAAGTCTGTGTTACATGCTCTCGTGTAATTAAGTATCATTAGTCTTAATCACTCTATGACTTCAATTAAATGTGTTAATGTTCCATTGATTATATCAATATTTTCTAAGGTACATGCTATCTTTCTCCAATATATAAGAACTGAAGTTAAATATTTCTGTAGCCCAGAATCTCTACTTGCAGCTGATCTAAAAAAGCGTAATTCCCCTTTAGGAGGAGCTCTTGAGCTTTCAGTTTGTTATTGTGCCAAAATAAACTCCTCTGGAGATTAGGAGCAGAAATGTGTAGCTCTAAGTTCAAGAACACGTTTAAGTCAACAGGTCAGTGTGTCAGAACTGGAAATGGGTTACAGGGAAAAGCAACTGCAAATAAGACCTTCAGATATCACAATTCACTGTCACATACCCTGCCCCACTTAGGTTAAAAATCAGTAATCTTCTTCAGTCAGCTTCCAGTAATTTCACTACAGCAAAGCTAAAACAACCTTTCAGAATTTGGCTTCTCCTGAAAAAGTAACATTACTTACCAAGTTCCATGTGTTCATCACAGGATGCATATCCAGGTGAAGAGGGCAGGTTTTCATTACACTTCAGCAACTCCAGTGACTCATTCATCCCTGAAGTTCTCTTGTCCACTACCAGAAGGAGTTTCTGAACTGCATTAGGCATTTGATTTGTCTTCACTTCCCACACCATGTTAGGATGCTCCAAAGTATCTGACTTCAAAGAAACAGAAGTTAAAAATTTGTATATACATAAACTGGTTTAAGCGTTAGATCTGACAGGCTACTTCATTACCAGAACCCTAAATCCTCCATAATCTGTTGACAATCACAGCATAATTTATCTTGAAAGGGACCTCTAGAGATAATCTGGTACAATCCCTGCAGAAAGCAGAGCCAGCTCTGAAGTCAGATGAGATTGCCTGGGACCCTGGCCATTTGAATTTCTGGTACCTTGAAGGATGAAGGTTCTCTGATGCTTCTCAGGAACC